GATCTACAATTTAAATGAGAAAATTTCATTTCTTCCACAAATAAATATCCTGCGCATTAAATGAATGATATAATGTTTATACAATTCTCAGTTGAAGATCACATTACAGAGATGCTAAATGGAAACATTCGATAATTGTACCAGGAAAAATTTTGTACAGAATAGTTCAAGACAAGCCTATGTAGCTTTCAGAAGCTTCTTCCAAGGAGCCTCTGGGTGGGTTTGAACCACTAACCCTTCAGTCAGTAGTCCAGTGCTTATCCATTTGCATCACCCAGGGACTCCTAAACAAGGGACTAAATCAGTATAAATTATATTTAAATTATCTCTTCTCCTCATCTTTGTTCCTTGTATTGCTTAAATTACAAGCATATCCCCCTCCCTTATCTTATTAACAGGGTAACAAACAACCCCATATATTGTAAATACATGGCATAATAAGATTACTTTTTCCACTGGTGCAAACGATTAAGCACTCTAACCGAAACGTTGTGGTTCAAATATGTGGTGGCGTCTTGGAAGAAGGCCTAGCGTGATCTACTGGGATTGTAGTTCACCATAAATTAAAGATTTTTGGTTTTTAATTTTTATATCTGCATTAGTAGTCTGAATTTGAAACCCATTCGCTTTTGAGCATTAGTTTGAAATCCAGAACTTGGACATTCCTCCTCTTTATAAAATATTTTTATTACACTTTAAATAAAATTTAAATAGGTTAAAAAATAAAGCTTTTATTTACTCCTCCTGCAGAAGCCCTCCTCTACCCCATACCCAACTGCATGAGCTCTGTTTCCAAAACCCAAAAGCCATCTCTACCCCCCCTTAAACTTCCAATAATAATTGATGTGAAATTCTATAATGTCTCCTGTGGCAAACACTATCTTCCTGCCCCCAACAGCTTTTCTTGCTAACAGTATCCTATTTTTGTTCAAGTATCAAGCGTCCCTAAACTTCACAGGAGGTAGGCTGCCTCCCTAGCTCCAGGCGTGAATCTTAATTTGAATAAGAAAGACAATAAATCAGTTCCCTTCACCTATGATTGACTTAGACCTTTGACATTTGTCTTCATTATCTAGTGCTGCTATAACAGAAATACCACAAGTGGATGGCTTTAACAAACAGAATTTATTCTCTCACAGTTTAGGAGGCTAGAAGTCTGAATTCAGGGAGCTAACTTCAGGGGAAGGCCCCCTCTCTCTGCTCACTTCTCTCTCCTTTTCTCTCTTGTAAGATAAAAGGTGATGCAGGCCACACCCCAGGGAGACTCCCCTTCTATCGATCGGGACTGTGACCTGAGAAAGGGCATTGTACCCCATCATAATCCTCATGACCACGAGCTAATCCTGCCTGACTACCCTAACGGACAGCTCACTCCCAAATGGGAGCATAACCACAGGCACAGAGGCTAGGATTTACCACACTTCACAAAATGGAGGATAATCAGATCACATAATGGAGGACAGCCACACAATACTGGGAATCATGGCCTAGCCAAGTTGAGACATATTTTGGGGGACACAATTTTATCCATGACAATGATTTATGAAAGTATTCCTCATTTACCCTTTTATCATTTATTCATTAATTTAATGAATTACTACGTATTAGCTCAAATCACAGTATGCAGATTTGATAAACTGCCCCATTCCAGGTGTCCAATGTCTCAAATACTCTAAACTATGCTGTTGTTGTTGTTGTTGGGTGCCGTGGAGTAGGTTCCGACTGATAACGACCCTGTAGGACAGAGGACAACTGCCCCATAGGGTTTCCAAGGAGCGGCTGGTGGATTTGAACTGCCGACCTTTTGGTTAGCAGCCAAGCTCTTAACCACCAGTGAAGTAATTCAATACTTAGCTGGATTACAAAATAATAGGTTAGTATGCAGATATTTTATACATTATTCCAAACAATCAAAATAAATAAACGTTAAAAACTTAGGGAGATAAAGATTTTAATTATAGTATATTAAGGGCTGCAGATGCAAATAACACCTGAGACAAAGTAAAAAACAATGATAACTAACTGGAATTCAAGTTAATTGGTACCCAAAGGACAAAAAAAAAAAGATTATTAAGTTAAAAAGAGTTGACAAATTGATAAAAGGCACAACCTCTAAGCAAGCTATGAGTTGGGCTGTTTGGTATAATGAAGCTATGGCAGTAACAAAGCTTAAACACCAAATCACACACAATCAAAACATATAAAATAAATACTATTTAAAAGATGAGGATAAATGGACAGAAATAAAAATATAGCAGGGGACTTAATCCCATACTATCGGGCATGATATACAGCAAATAGACAAAAAAACAGCCAGTTTTTCTCTTCAAAATATAATTAACAATATTCAACAAATAGCTATAAATCGAATGTCATATTATAAAACATAAATTAATTGGAAACGTTGAAGGAAAGAAGAGAAAGAATAGAGGACTGTGACTATTTGAAGAGATAATGGCTGAGAAAAGTCTAAAAATAATGAAGGGCATGACTCCATAGTTCCAGGAGGCATAACAAAGCAGGATAAAAGAATCCACATTCAGACCCATCAAAACTTAGATTCATATTAAATCAGGGATTTAGTACATAATAGTATATTTTTTATTTACTCAAATTTACCCATTCTTTCAACGACTATGAAGGCCAGCGGAGTGTACCAGACCCTGCTCTTTAAGTGTCTCCGTTTTTCACTTGTATTAAATAAACTGGAGTTCCTAGCACTCTCACTTTTCTAAAAAAAGGATTAACACCAGTGTCATGAGTAAACGTGGGTCTCTATGGAATATAAAGGAGCCCTGATGGCACAGTGGTTAAGTGCTTGGCTGCTAACCCAAAGGTTGGCGGTTCGAAACCACTAGCCACCCGGAGAGGAGAAAGATGTGGCAGTCTGCTTCCATAAAAATTACAGTCTTACAAACCCTATGGGGGCAGTTCTACTGTGTCCTATAGGGTCACTAAAGGTGGGAAATGACTCAACGGGTTTGGTTTCGGTTTATATGCAATAGAAGGAAGTAGTTAGAAGAGAAATGCCTGCAAACAGGGACAAGAGCCTCCATGCCAGAAGCAGTGGAGTATAATGGTTAAGGTTAACGCAAGGACTGCAGAAAATAACAGGGCTCTGTTCAAACCCTGAGTCCAGATCCTTAATCCTCGTATCAGTTTCTTCATCTGTGAAATGGGAATTAATAATAAATACTTCATAATTTTGCCAGAGAATTAAACTCAACGGAATACAATTTGTTTCAAAGTGCCTGACACACAGTTAACCGAAAATCCCTTTGTCCATGGGGTTTCCAGGGAGGGGCTGGTGGATTCCAACTGCCGACTTTTTGGTTCCCAGCCGAGCTCTTAACCTCTGCGCAACCTGGGCACCCGCACACAATAAGCACTCAATAAACAGCAGCCATTACTAGTATAATGACAGAGTCTGCTTGAGGGAACACAAGAAACGTCTCACTGGCTAGAGAACATTTGATGTCAAAAAACTAGGGCGTTCTTACAATGAGACATGCATCGCTGTTTTTAAGGCTGGGACCCTCGCATACCATCTTCAGGAAGCTAACTTCACAATGTTAAGAAAAGCCAGAATTGGGGTGATTAGTTAATGCTACAAGGGATCCCACAGCAATTTAAGGTTCTAAGCCCTTTCCCCAATTCCCTCGTACGAAGAAAGAGGTTAGGAGCGACAGAGACAGGAGCACAGCAAGGCCGATCATATGGACTCTGGTTCCTGCCTCACCTCACTGGTGTCGCCTGGCGGCCTCGGAAAAGCGCCCTCAAATGGCTGCCTCTGTTTGCTCAGGTCTCCCGACCGCCCCGCCGCGGAATCACTGGGCAGGAACCTGCGAGCGCACAGCTCTCACGCCCACACCATTCTCACCGAGTTTATTAGAAGCAACCTCACAGCCCATCTCCCTAGTCTGCAGCTATGGAAATAGCCTGTACTCGGAAACCAGGGTTTATCTCCCGGCTTCGACAGGGTCATTTACGACTCCGTCTCCTGAGCTGCCAGCAGCGCTGCCTTAATGTTGGGCAGGGCGCCACCCTGGGCAGGGGCCTCCCAGCTGTTAAGTTCCTTGCCGTTGTAGATGGAGAACTGCAGGTGGGGAGGATTCTTCTTGTCTTGCCGTCTGGAGCCGCGTTGTCCGCCAACTCCAGGATCTCCGCAATCAGGCACGCGGGCGCCCAGACGCACATCCACTCGGCGCAGCAGCCTTTGCGCAGCTGGTCCACCAGCAACGGCGGAGCCCAAGAGCTCTCACCTGGCCTTGGACTTCGCCTGCACTTTGCTGCCTTGCTTCCCGCGTCTAGATTTGCTCATCTCTCATTCAAAACATAAGCGAAGAAACAACATATTCCACATCCGGTAGGAGACTACAGCACGCTGCATTAAGGGCGCATTTAGTGTTTTACGATTTGCCTGGAGAGGCGTTTTCCTATTGGAGGCTGCGATATCCCTGGCTCCAGTGTAGCACCGGTGAAGAACCGCCTCCTGACGCGTAGCCCTTCCCTCGAATTGGAGGTGCAAGTGGGCTAGTCCTAATTTACATAGAAGCCACTCTGTAAGGAAGGGCTCCAACTCCGAAAGGGTGATTACTATTTCTAAAACTGTGGTTTCGCTAAGTGGAGATCCTCCCTTCTCCCAAACATAATCTAAAGACAGAGCCCGGCGTCCGTATTTTGATATACACAAGAAAGCAAAGTCACCACTGCACTGCGCTTCCAAGCTATGACCGAGAAGCGCGACGCTGCGACCCAGGGGTGCTGCATCCACGCCATTTCTCCCCTACTCCAAGCTCAAGTGGGAGCCACTCCAGGAGTTTTTGACAGCAAATTTCCTACTAGTGATATCCGGAATGCTGCATCTATAGCACGTATCTGCATTTAGAACATGCATTTACTTGCACGATAGATAAGAAATGTTACAGCTCTTTTCTTGAAATTGTGGGGGCTATGAAAAGGACCTTTCGGAGTCTGGACAGCAAAGCCGCGAACACAGCTCAGCCACCGAAGCCATACCAGGGTGCTGTCCTGGTGTTTCAAAGCATACACCACATCCTAGGAGGTCGTGGTCTGGCGCTGGGCATGCTCAGTGTAAGTTAACGTCTCATGGATCGTGTTCTCCAGAAAGACTTTGAGCACACCCCTACTGTCCTCGTAGATGAGCCCAGAGATGCGCTTGACACCGCCAAGGCGAGCGAGACGCCGAATCGCAGACTTCGTAATCCCCTGGGTGTTGTCCCGCAAGACTTTATGGTGGCGCTTGGCACCGCTCTTCCCTAGCTCTTTACCACCTTTGCCGCGGCCTAGACATTTTTAACAATAACTACCTTCTTACATAAAAAAGCAAGCCCAGCACAAGAAACTGGTCCGCAAACCTAGATTTATACTCCCTTGTAGCGGACCGGTTTGGAAACTTCAAGAAAGTGAGTGGAGCTCTTGGCCCCACCTCCGGAGACTTTTTTTTAACTCCTAGAATGGATTCGTTTCTTTCTCGCTCCGCGTAGTCTAGTAAGCAGTAAGCGAAACCAGACTGTTTTTTTTTTTTTTTTTGTCTGCTTTTTCGGAAAAAACTTTTTGATATTTTTAACATAAATTTGAAGAAAGGCTGAATATGGTATATTTGAACGTTTAGAAAAAATAAGCTAATAAAATTTCTGTTGGCTTTTCTCAATGCTAAAAAAATAATGTAGGTGAGATCCTGTGCTATTTCTGATTATATATATATAATTGTGCTTTAAGTGAAAGTTCACGGCTCAAGTTAGTTTCTCATACAAAAATTTATACACACTGTTATGTGACGCTAGTTGCTATCCCGATGTCAGCGCACTCCTTTTCACCCTGGATTTTTCGTGTCCTTTCATCCAGTTCCCGTCCCTCTCTGCCTTCTCAGCTCGCCCCCGGACAGGAGCTACCCATTTAGTCTCACGTATCTACTTGAACTAAGAAGCACACTCTTCACGAGCATCATTTTATGTCTTATAGTCCAGTCTACTCTTCGAAGAACTGGCTTCAGGAATGGTTTTAGTTCTGGGTTCACAGAGAGTCTGCGGGCCGTGTCTTCTGGGGTTCCTCCAGTCTCAGTCAAACCATTAAGTCTGGTCTTTTTGCTAGAATTTGAGTTCAGAACTTCCTTTTCTCCTGTTCCATCAGGAACTCTCTGTTGTGTTCCCTGGGAGGGCAGCCATTGGTGGTAGCCAGGCAACATCTGGTTCTTCTGGTCTCAGGCTGATGGAGCCTCTGGTTTATGTGGCCCTTTATGTCTCCTGGGCTAATATTTTCAGAGTGTCTTTGGTGTTCTTCACTCTCCTTTGCTCCAGGTGGGTTGGGACAAATTGATGCATCTTAGATGCCACTCACCCAAGTAAGATGCAGAACATTTTCTTAATAAATGCCAGTTGACCTAGATGTCCCCTGAAACTATGGTCCCAAAATCCCTGCCCCTGCTACTCTGTCCCTCGAAGTGTTTGGCTGTATTCAGGAAACTTCCTAGATTTTGGTTCAGTCCAGTTACGCTGACTTCCCCAAATTGTGTCATGTTCCTCCCTTCACCTAAGATAATTCTTGTCTACTATCTACCCTCATAACCATCAAAGAATGTTTTCTTCTGTGTTTAAACTTTTCCTTTTTTTTAAATTGTGCTTTAAGAGAAAGTTTGCAATTAGTTTCTTATACAAAGATTTATACACACATTGTTATGTGATCCTAGTCGCTCTCTCTATACTGTGACAGCACACTTCTCCTTTCCACCCCGGATTTCCCATGTCCATTCAACTAGCTCCTGGCCCTTTCTGCCTTTTCATCTTGCCTCCAGACAGGAACTGCACATTTAGTCTAATGTATCTACTTGAGCTAAGAAGCACGTTCTTCACGAGTATCATTTTATGTCCCATAGTCCAGTCTAATCTTTGTCTGAAGAGTTCACCTCGGGAGTGGTTTTAGTTTTGGGCTACCAGAGAGTCTGGGGGCCATGTCTTCCAGGTCCCTCCAGTCTCAGTCAAAACATTAAGTCTGGTCTCTTACTAGAATTTCAATACTGCACCCAACTTTTCTTCTGTTCACTCAGGGACTCTCTTTTGTGTTCCCTGTCAGGGCAGTCATTGATGGTAGCCGGGAACCATCTAGTTCTTCTGGTCTCGGGCTGATGGAGTTTCTGGTTTATGTGGCCCTTTCTGTCTCTTGGGCTAATATTTTCCTTATGTCTTTTGTGTTCTTCATTCTCCTTTGCTGCAGGTGGTTGGGACCAATTGATGCATCTAAGATGGCTGCTCACTGCTTTTAAGACCGCAGATGCCACTCACCAAAGTGGAATGCAGAACATTTTCTCAATAAACTTTGTTATGCCAGTTGACCTAGATGTCGCCTGAAACCATAGTCCTCAGACCCCTGCTCCTGCTACTCTGTCCCGTGAAGTGTTTGGTTGTATTCAGGAAACTTCTTAGCTTTTGGTTTAGTCCAGTTGTGCTGACTTCTCCTGCAGTGTATGCTGTCCTTCCCTTCACCTAAGATAATTCTTGCCTATTATCTAGTTAGTGAGTACCCCTCTCCCTCCCTCCCCACCCTTGTAACCATCAAAGAATGTTTTCTTCTGTGCTTAAACCTTTTCTTGAGTTCTTATAATAGTGGTCTTATACAATATTTATCCTTTTTCAACTGACTAAACTCACTCAGTATAATGCCTTCCAGATTCGTCCATGTTATAAGGTGTTTCACGGATTCATCATTGTTCTTTATCATTGCGTAGTCTTCCATTGTGTGAATATAAATAATCTGTTTATCCATTTGTCTGTTGATGGGCACCTAGGTTGTTTCCATCTTTTTGCTATTGTGAACTGCTGCAATGAACATGGGTGTGCATATATCTATTCGTGTGACGGCTCTTATTTCTCTAGGATATATTCCAAGGAGTGGGATTGCTGCATTGTATGGTATTTCTATATCTAGCTTTTTAAGGAAGTGCCAAATCAATAAAGTGGTTATACCATTTTACATTCCAACCAACAGTGTATAAGTGTTCCAGTCTCTCCACAACCTCTCCAACATTTATTATTTTGTGTTTTTTGGATTAATGCTAGCCTTGTTGGGGTGAGATG